CTGCTGCTGGCCACCATCCCCTACATCCCCTCCTTCTTCCCCACATCCAGCTCCAATAACAGCCCCTCAGTGCCCAACAGTCCTGGGCCGACATCTACTATCCCACGGGACGTCTGAGAAAAGACGGAAGGTAAGAAGGTGAAGCTTGGCCACCTTATATGATTCTTTACTGACAGTGTACGATGGGCCAAGACCAAAGAAAACATACATGGACAAGAGTCGTGCACCAGAAAAAGACTTTTCAAAACAGATGATACTGTGCTAACTGATATTATGAATCTGATAACATGACAACATGGTTTTATCCAAAGTGACTTCCACTGCATATATATATATATATATATATATATATATATATATATATATGTTGTGGAAGTCACTTTGGATAAAACCATGTTGTCATGTTATCAGATTCATAATATCAGTTAGCACAGTATCATCTGTTTTGAAAAGTCTTTTTCTGGTGCACGACTCTTGTCCATGTATGTTTTCTTTGGTCTTGGCCCATCGTACACTGTCAGTAAAGAATCATATAAGGTGGCCAAGCTTCACCTTCTTACCTTCCGTCTTTTCTCAGACGTCCCGTGGGATAGTAGATGTCGGCCCAGGACTGTTGGGCACTGAGGGGCTGTTATTGGAGCTGGATGTGGGGAAGAAGGAGGGGATGTAGGGGATGGTGGCCAGCAGCAGAGGGCTCATCTGGGGGCTGTCGTCTGACGGTAAGGGGATCACCACATCGTCCTGGTCCCACACGTGGAAGGCGTTGGTATGGGACAGAGACAGAGCCGCGGGCAGACGGGTGGGTCTGATGCTCGATATGTCTTCTTTTTCTGCATCGTCATCGTTAGGGCCAAGTACACAGTCTGTAATGAAAGATAAGGAAATTAAATTGAAGTGCTATTTTATGGTAAATAAAGACTTTCATCAGGGGTGTAAAATACTGAGAACCTATACTTGAGTTGACATACAGTACTGTGTTAATTTAACTCTATTAAAAGTTGAAATATTCAGCCAAAAACATTCTTGACATTACAGCAAACTTTTTTTCTGTAGCTTTAGAGGTTTTCTTATTAAAGTACAGTTGATGCACAAATTGTTTATTCACATTATTTTTTCTATGACCTAACCAAGAAGATCTAAGACAAAACTGATGCTGAAACCAGTATCCTGAAACCTGTTATCCTGACATTTTTAGATGTTTCTTCACAACCAAATGACCAGTTGTAGCCATTGACTTTACACTTTAGTGGAAGTTACACAACCTTTTTCCACTACCAAGAAATTAATACCTTTATTTAGCAAGGATGCATTAAATTGATCAAAAGTGACAGCATAGACGTTTATAATGTTACAAAAGATTTCTATTTCAAATAAAAAAAAAATTGTTGTTTTTTTAATTTTGTATTCATAAAATAATCCTTAAAATTTTAACCATTCGCATTCCCTGGGAATCAAACCTATAACCATGGCATCACTAGAACTTCACTGGAAGCCTTTTCTGTTTTATTTTTCTATTCCAAAGTTTTTGGACTCTGAAAGGTCACTTGGAAATACATACTGTAGGATGGACTGCTTGAGTCATATTACCTTTTCCTGTTGTGTAAGACTATTTATGGAAGCTCTGTTATGAGCACTGGTGAACATCATTTCAACTCATCCCCAAAAGGAGGATTAATTTGACAGAACTTGAGCTCAGAATGACTCTGCATTATATGTTCAGTTGGTATTAATGACATAACAACTCACGTCTAGACTTTCCATGCCAGCGCAAATAAACCCAAAATTCCTCCTCGGTGTCGGATGGTCTCAAAGGAGCGTCTCTTTACGGGAGCCAGTCTCTTGGAAATCAGAGATGAGCGGGGCGAAGGATAAAAAATAATATTTGGACGAGGCCCAAAGCAACATAAACTCAGCAAATGCCCTTGAAAGGGTCGAGAAGCTTGTTGGATGGTTGATATAATGTTTGATTCATCTGAATTTGAATGCTGGATCTAGATGTCAAGCTCACATTGAATCTTTGGATTCACCGTAGTAAAAATGCACTAAAATCTTTCAATATTTTTGTTAATTTGCATTTTGGAGACCACATGGGGTTGTTCACACAGGACACATTCTTGCATTGTTTCAACCATTTTAAATGTTGGGTTTTTGGCATTGGCATGCCAGCTTGCTGTTTTTTTCGGCACCTTACGTTATGAGCATCCTGTTTTTAAAATAGTAACTAATAACAATGTTGAAAATGAAAAACTTTTAAAGTCAAAGTCATTACATATTCCTGGACTTTTTGTGCACAAAATCAGGGCATGTTATTCAACAGCACATAAACCTGTTCTGATTTAGAAATGTTTTAAAATGGTAATGCAAAATTTTTTTTTGAAAAGCTACGTGACTACAGAAAAAGGGCTGTGTATGAAAATGTAAACACCAATAATGCACTGGATTCAATCAGACTATCCATGCAAAATATGATTTGTGGTTTTCACAAATCATCTGCAGGAATTTTGCTGCCAATAAAGGTGCAGATAACAGAAAAATAATACACATTGTTTATTTACTTATATTACTGACATGATAATAATGCAAAGCTGGTTGAAAATAGGTGAACTTACCCTGTAAAACAACCAGGGCCAACATTCAATCATCTCTTACACAGTTACCTGGAAGTTTCTAGTCTCTAAAGCTTGATTAGCTGGTTCAGGTGTGTTTAATTAACACCCCTGCTTTAAATAATATGCATTTACCAGAAACTTTTATCCAAAACGACTTACATTGCAGTAGAGGAATATGTTGCTAGCCAATTAGTTAACAATTTAGACTTTGCTTTAGCAAACTTGCACTATGATATGGATATTTTCACCAAATATCCAATTTTTTTGTCACATTTTGAATGTACCTGTAGTGGAACACAAGAACGTGTGCTGTGTGAACGTCCCCATTTACTAATAATGCAATATTTTGCTAAAGAGGGCCGACTTGTTTTTTTGACTTTTGTTTTTTTACAGTCCACATTGGTTGACAAGCATTAGCTAATGCTGTTACAAATGCTGTAAATAAAGAACTCTGCTAACCCTCAAGTTGTACTTGGAAAAGTAAGTTCAATAACTATGTATAAAACAAGTGTATAGTATCTCCATGAATAAGAGTGAAAACATAAATACTGCAAAAAATGCAAATACTACCGTCTTTCGTATAACAGTGAGTTTCTGATGTTAAAACGAGACATCCATACAGGTAATAAGTGAAGCAGCGGCTAACACAGGGCTGTTCTCAGACAGGGGATTACTTTGACTCGGCCACTTAAGATGTTACGACATTTAAGCAAGTTAACAAGATGTAATCCTTCACTGTCACAGAGGATTCCCTCGACCCCAAAGGGCAATTGGCGGGCCAGCAGATTTATCATTCGCTGCTGACGGTCCTCTCAAAACAGGATTATGTTCAAATCATCTAAAATTGTATAAACTTCATCAACATGCTTCTGTCCTAGATTCAGAGCCTGACAATCCAACTCACATCCTCTCTACATGTGCTTTTATGTAATCTTATGTGTGCCAACAACACAAGATGCTGGGGAATGAAGAGATTACAAAGCCTGATCAAATATGAATGTCGAATTCATTTAAAAAAAACTGTTTTAAACGTTGATAATAATAATAAATGTTTCTTGAGCAGCAAATTAGAATGATTTCTTAAGAATCATGCAACACTGAAGACTGGAGTAATGATGAATGAAAATGTAGCTTTGATCACAAAAATCAATTATATTTTAAAATATATGCAAGTATTCAAGTTATTTTAGATCATATTTAACAATATTACTGATTTTACTGTATTTGTGATCAAATAAATGCAGAGACTTCTTTCAAAAACATAAAAATATTTGACCCCAAAATTGGAGCGGTAGTGTGCATTTACGTAATTTTTAAGTTGTAGATGCCGAGACACGAAAAGATGACGGAAGTATCTTTAACTCGTTTCCAACCATGAGTTTTGCTGAAAGAAATTGAATTAGTGCCACTCATCTTATTTAGTTTGTTCATGGAACTTGACTACAACGTACAAATATGTCCCCTAGAGATACAAACATACTGCTTAACATTTATGTCAGTTTCAGCGAAAACAGAATCAATGCCGCCAGGAAATAATATTACTTAGAAAAGACAGAGAACATCTAAAGGAGAGAAAAAAAAGATGTCGATTGATGGCAGAAACATCAGCCCAGTTTGACTTGAGTACAGCGGTTCTCAACCAGGGGGCCTCATTTAAATTAATTAAAATAAATGTTATTAAAATAATCTAATTTAATTTGAATGCCAAAACATATCAAATCGAGACATGAAATCATAATTGTTTTGTTATAATTATTTTCCTTTAAAAAAAACTTACTAACGAACATACCATTCTTGAAGGTTCTAGAATCACACAGTTAATTGTGGTTAATTTATTTAATATATCAACAAAGCTAATAAAAAAAACAAGTTTTGTTTGGAAGAATATCTTTGGAGTCTTTAAATAAGGTGACAGTGGGGGGCTTCGAATCAAAACGTTTGTGAACCACATGTCGCATTGCATTGTGTAGCATTCAAACTGATTTTTTTCATGAATATATGGTTGACCTGAAGAATGAAAGCTGTATCATACACTTGGAGAATTATGAGCTATATCACTGCTCATCGACACTAGGGGTGTGACAATACACTTAGCTTTCACACATACAGTACTGGTAAATTACCGGTAAGTTACCATTAATAGATCATGTGTGAACAGGACCTTTTCAAAAATCCCGGTAAATTTGTTCTGGAAATCAAATCGTTTTATGGAGATGACATGATTACATGTTTTATGGAGGTCACATGATGACTCTGAGCTGTTTACAAAGCTCCGCTGCTTTTTAATTAGTTGTCCAGCAAAGGACCCTGGTTTAACTGTATGCACTTACACTTTGCATGCACTTAAAAGAACTGTGGTTTCATAATAAACAACCATTAAGTAAGTCATACTGGAGATTTGAAACATTTTTTATTTAATATTTCTACAGTAAGAGGACTTTAATAGTTTCCATTGCATTCTGGGTTATGAGAACAAACTGGGTGGCTGTTCTTTTACAGAGCTGTCATGGAAATATATTAATGTGTGTGTGTGTGTGTGTGTAACAGAAACCAAAGAATTAACCTACATAAAAGCAGAAGTGGAGCTTTGAGTGGAGGCCAATAGGGATTTCTATATCAGGCGGTGATGTTGTAATAAGGGCAATGTAAAGACGTTACTCTTTTCCTCTGCTTTGACGTCAGCCTGTTCAACACGGCCCTCGTAAGTAATGCCGAGCAGCAAAGTGTAGTTCAGGGTGTTATGGCTTAAATAAACAATAAAAATGCAGTTGAGTTGTGAGAGTACAAATGAATCCATATGCTGAGCTGTATGATGGTTATTTAAGAGTCCAGTCGACATATTGGGCTGTCGTACACCATCTGGAGGTTCACTTTGTGGCCCACGAGCTCTCGGATGTTGTTGATTCCATATTTGATCATGGTGGGTCTGAAGATGGGTGAAAATAAAAGAGAAACAATCAACCAACTCTGACATTTTGTATGCAAAAAAGCTATTTTATATGTGCGTGTCAATGTACCTTTCCAAGGACAGACCCCAGGCGATGACTGACACCCCCTCGGGCAATCCCATGGGCAGCAGCATTTCAGGCCTGAAGACCCCAGAATTACCCACCTCCACCCACTTCTTCAGACCTGAGAGAGATTGAGCGAGATGGACGATTTATGATGCTAAACTGGTTTAGACAGTTAGCTTTCCGCCTAAAGAGTGCACAGAAAAGCTTTTTCAGCAGCCTTTGTAAGTACTGGAAAGTATTGGTGCATTCAAGTGCTGACAAAAAGATCATATTTACGAGTTCAATGCACATTAATGCCACCACAAAGCCTTAATTATGAGTGGGGAAACATTGAACTTTCTTTAAGCCCCGAGTTTCCGAGTTGGCAGTGTGTCTGAGAAAATATGATGCAATGGATGCAGTAGCTGTATTAAAATGATTTTTTTCCATTTACAGTAAAACTAGCTAAGTTGCGTATACAAAATATGATTATATCAAACAATTACGAATATATAGCAACTCAATTTACAGTGCTTTCATAAACTGAACAATCAAAAAAAAAAAAAAAGCAAAAACCGAATGCATACTCTTTATTCATTATTTTGAAAAAGTTGAGTTTAAAAATCTTGCTTATGGTACATAGCCATCTTACTCATCCTACAAAATGACTTGAACTCATCTGAGGTCATAACTAATTATGACTTCCAAACTCATAAATAGGAACTTCCAAGGAGGACATGAGCACACCAATATTTTTCCATTCATTTTTTCCAATAGGGAAAAAAAAAAAAAAAGTCTTTTTTTTTTTTTTTTTAATAGTTAGAAACCAAGAAACAACCAATCAGCTACAAGGTGAAACAAAACATTACAAGCTTTGATTTGAATCAGAAAATATTTTGATTTAAATGTTGACTGATTGTCTATAACTGCAAGGCTAAGAAGAAATTCTTTGTTGAACGTGTTAGTTTTATATCGCTTCTGCAAATTATTTTTGTCATTTCACAGAGCCTTACAGACTACCAGAGAAAAAAAAAAAAAAAAGGCAAATAAATCTGATAAAAATGACAATTTTTCAAATTTTCATGCAGTTCTTTAAAGAAGCCGTTTTACTCGGATATACACCACAATGGGAAAGAAAAAAACTACTCATTTCCTTTTCATGTCGACTTCAATATTAATGCTTTCACTACTTAATCGAATAGTTTTGCTTCTAAAATTAGGTTATTGCATTACCACCTATTTTTTTATAATTTGTCTTTTATTACTTATTCTATACCCACAAAACAGCAGGCTGTAAAAGATTTAATGTTTTAGTGCTGTCAAACGATTAATCATGATTAATCACATTCACAATAAAAGTTTTTGTTTACATAATATATATGTGTGTGTACGGTGTAGATTTATTATGTATATATAAATACACATGCATGTACATATTTACGAAATATTATGTTTATATAGTAAATATATTTATAAATAATATAAATTATATGAATATACATATATGCATGAAAATACATGTAAATATTAAAAAATATATATACTGTATGTGTGTGTATATTTATATATACACATAATAAATATACACAGTATGCACATATATTATGTAAACAAAAACTTTTATTTTGGATGCGATTAATCGCGATTAATCATTTGACAGCACTAGTTTTTACCTTTAGCAATATAAACGTAGCACATTACATACACGTATGACTTCGTACGGAGACTTTTACCTTCATGATAGCTGAACACCTCCATACTTGGCTCGGTGTAGGGGTTGTACGCAGGCTTGAAGCGCAATTTTGTGATTCCTGAAAGAAAACATTTCAAAATCATGGTCAATCAACTTTGGGATGTCTAAAAGTCAGACAGCGAGCAATTTACCAGGTTTATTAATAAATTAATGAACATTCAGGATTCTTCCTTCGCTGTAAATGGATAATTATACAAATAATGATGATTTAAAAAAAAGTAGAATCTCACACACACTCATGTATCTTGTTATTAAAAAGCAAGGAGTGTAGTACCTAGTTTGGTAAAGAACTCGTGCAGGACACCCATGAGGTTTCCCAGCGTAAGGCCGTAGTCGGCCACCACTCCCTCGATCTGGTGAAACTCCGCCAGGTGAGTAGCGTCCAGAGATTCATTACGGAAAACTCTATCGATGGAAAAGTACTTCACGGGTGTGAACTTCTCCTGAAAGATTATACCACAGAGACGAGTGAGATCTGAGCTAAAGAGCGGTGAAACGAGCAGTGAGCCTGTGTGTGTGTTCACCTGCTGTGCGAGTTTATACAGCATGCGAGCGCTGACCGCTGTGGTGTGTGTTCGCAGGAGGTTCTTCTGGGCTTCTTCAATCTTCCAGTCATATTTGTATCTTAAAATGTATTTGAGATGTTAAAATTACATTGATCTACAAATATAAAGTACTGTTCAAAAGTTTGAGTTTTTTTTTTTTTTTTAAACCAAGGCTGCATTTATTTAATCAAAAATACAGTACGAACAGTAGTATTATGAAATATTATTACAATTTAAAAGAACTGTTTTCTATTTTAATGCATTTTAAAATGTAATTTATTCCAGCATCATTACTCCAGTCTTTAGTGTCACATGATCCTTTAGAAAGCATTCTAATATGATGATTTGCTGCTCGAGAAAACATTTATTATTATTATCAATGTTGAAGACAGTTGTGCTGCTTAAAGTTTTTGTGGAAACTGTGATAAGATTTTTTTTTAAAATTCAGGATTTTTTTGATGAATAGAAAGGTCAAAAGAACAGTATTTATTTGAGATAGAAACATTTTATAACAATTGTCTTTACTGTCACTTTTGATCATTTTAATGCAACCTTGCTGACTAATTTAAAAACAAATAGCATACATAGAATATAATGTGGATCATCTTACCCCTGTGATCCGTAACCTCCTTCAGAATGAACCTGCTTCACTCTCTCCAAATAGTCCTGAGGAAACTCGTGAGCAAGGGCTGGGTCTGTGAAATACACAAAATATCGTTTGAAAAATATGCTTTGAATGTATGTGGTCCAAACTCCTGCAGAATGAGTGAAAGCACAGAGGTGGATATTCCTCACCCGAGATGAAGAAGGTGTCATGCTGGTCTCTTGCTGGGTGCTGCTGGGGCTGGAACAGAGAATCGAAGTTCCAGAAGGAGCTCTCGATGAAGTTATTGGTGGGCATTTCTGTGAATCTGTGAATGAGAGACCTAATACTTAGGAATATGTTTGCAAAGTAGCGTTCTAAGATTAAAACATTGTTATGGAGTAAAATGTTCTGTATGAAGGCATAATTGATATACGGCGGCATGCGAAAGTTTGGGCACCCCTGGTCGAAATTTCTGTTAATGTGACCAGTTAAGCAAGTGGAAGATGAAATGATCTCCAAAAGGCATAAAGTTAAACATGAAACACTCTTTTGCGATATTTTAAAGGCATAGTTCACCCAAAAATGAAAATGAAAATGAAATGAAAAAACAAGGCTGATTACACAGATTACGTTCATGCGCGCGCTTTCCCCCCGAACGTAAACAAGGCTGATTACACAGATTACGTTCATGCGCGCGCTTTCCCCCCGAACGTAAACAAGGCTGATTACACAGATTACGTTCATGCGCGCGCTTTCCCCCCGAACGTAAACATATCTTAATTTGTGTTCCGAAGATGAACGAAGGTCTTACGGGTTTGGAACTACATGAGGGTGAGTAATTAATGACAGAATTTTCATTTTGGGGTGAACTAACCCTTTAAGCAATATCAGTGTATTGTTTTTGTTTCCTACAATTTTAGAGTGAAAAAGGGGAAAGCAGCACCCTGCAAAAGAATGGGAACCCCAGGAGACTTGAGCTCTCAGATAACTTTGACCAAGGTAGCAGACCTTAATTAGCCTGTTAGGGTCATGGCTTGTTCACAGTCATCGTTTGGAAAGGTCAGGTGATGCAAATTTCAAAGCTTTATAAATACCCAGACTCCTCTAACCTTTTGCGATATTTTAAAGGCATAGTTCACCCAAAAATGAAAATGAAAATGAAATGAAAAAACAAGGCTGATTACACAGATTACGTTCATGCGCGCGCTTTCCCCCCGAACGTAAACAAGGCTGATTACACAGATTACGTTCATGTGCGTGCATTCCCCCCGAACGTAAACAAGGCTGATTACGCAGATTACGTTCGTGAGCGCGTTTTCCCCCCAAATTTAAACAAGGCTGATTACGCAGATTACGTTCGTGAGCGCGCTTTCCCCCCGAACGTAAACAAGGCCGATTACGCAGATTACGTTCATGCGCGCGATTTCCACCCGAACGTAAACAATAATGACAGAATTTTCATTTTGGGGTGAACTAACCCTTTAAGCAATATCAGTGTATTGTTTTTGTTTCCTACAATTTTAGAGTGAAAAAGGGGAAAGCAGCACCCTGCAAAAGAATGGGAACCCCAGGAGACTTGAGCTCTCAGATAACTTTGACCAAGGTAGCAGACCTTAATTAGCCTGTTAGGGTCATGGCTTGTTCACAGTCATCGTTTGGAAAGGTCAGGTGATGCAAATTTCAAAGCTTTATAAATACCCAGACTCCTCTAACCTTCCCCCAACAATCAGCAGCCATGTCCTTCTCACCACAAAATTCAACATCAGAATTTTGCAAAAGAACATTTACACAAGCCTGATGCATTTTGGAAAAAAGTCCTGTGGACCGATGAGGTTAAAATAGAACTCTTTGGCCACAATGAGCAAAGGTATGTTTGGAGAACAAAGGGCACAGAATTTCATGAAAAGAACACCAATCCAGCTGTTAAGCATGGGGGTGGATCGATCATGCTTTGGGGTTGTATTGCAGTCAATGGCACGGGGAACATTTCACGGGTAGAGGGAACAATGGATTCCAACAAATTCTGGAAGCAAACATAACACCATCTGTAAAAAAGCTGAAGCTGAAAAGAGGATGGGGTGCTACTAGGTACTAACTATGCAGGGGGCCCAAACTTTTGCTGCGGGCCCTTTTCCTTTTCTGTTATTTTGAAAATGTAAAAGATTAAAATAAAAAAAATATTTTGTTTAAAATATAAAGGGAATGTGTCATCTGTAACTTTATGCCTTTTGGAGATCATTTCATCTTCCACTTGCTTAACTGTTCACATTAACAGAAATTTTGACCAGGGGTGCCCAAACTTTCGCATGCCGCTGTAACTATGGTACTCGCACATACTTCAAATCAGTATGATTGCAATTGTCATATTGATATAATAAAATATGAAGACAACATTTTCTGTTTCTGGTTTATTTTATCAATGAAAAGTTTCAAAAGAAACCACAGCAGACCAGTTTTGCATCTTTGAGCAACAACGCGGTTCTTCATTGCTGAATGAATCAGAGTTTTGAACGAATCACTTTAATGAATGATCAATAGCCCAATGAATCATCCGTTTGAACAAATCATTCAAATGAGTGACTCAAATCATTGACAGTGACTTGCCGCCACCTACTGGATGTTTTAGATTAATTTAAAGTACCTTTCCATCTAAATATAAAAATAAATCAATAGAAAAATCAAATACTTATTAAAAACAATAATTAATTTAAAAACAATTTTATTTATTAAAAAATTTATTTATTCATAAAAAAAAAATAAATAAAAAAAATCTCACAGGAGTCAGCATTTGTAAATTGCATTCAAGCCAACTCTGGGCAGTCTGTGAAAATACATCTAAATGCCATTTCAGACGCAGCTTCTGTGCCACTTCTGCAGTGCCAAGATGGATTTTGTTGATACTGATTCCTTTGATCTGAATTTACTGCTTAAATGTAAGAATTTGACAAAAAAGGTGATGTGTACATCTAATAAGGTTAAAAAAGTCATACAGGTAAAAATCTCTGGGAAATCAGATTTAAGAGGCAAATAATGCCTCATAATGGATAGTGGAAGTTATTTTCTGTCACTACAGTGAAGTACCCATCGCACAGAATATGAATACTAAAAGCTTGGGGAGTCAGCTGTCCATAAAAGGCCTAAACCAGAAAAAGATACCAGCACAAAAACACACTTGGCACAATATTGTCTAATTATAATTATCGACATAATGTTTAGGTTAAGGACACGCTTTAAAATGTTTTACTGCTCCACAAAAACACTGACCAAGCATGTGTGAAATCATTTTGCCCAAAATATTATGTCCACACAATAAATCTGATAACTGGTGGTTTATCAGCTGAGGCAGAAGAGTGTTATGCAAAGGTAAAGGACTGACCCCATTTCCAGGAAGATCTGCCTGAACTGCGTCCGGACCTTCATGAGAGGGTGCAGGTGACCGCAGTCTGGAGCGACACCCATCGCCTCGAAATTATACGGCTTGAACTTCTTCTCCTTCCAGCTTCCACTGAGAGAAACAAGTTACAAATATTAAAGGGGTCATATGATGCGATTTCAATTTTTCCTCTCTCTTTGGAGTGTTACAAGCTCTTGGTGCATAAATAAGATCTGTAAAGTTGCAAAGACTAAAGTCTCAAATCCAAAGAGATATTCTTTATAAAAGTTAAGAGTCAACCACGCCTACCTAAAACGGCTC